TTCCCTTCGTGGCCTTGATTAATCAAAAAGTAAGACGCCTGGCTAGTTTCACTAAGGTGAGGTACCTCTTCGCCAAGTTCTCTTTTAATGTCCGGCCTCATCACTTCCCATGACTCACAGAACTTATCCAATGCATCCTTCAGCTCTTCATAATTGTCGCCCTTGATGACATCTCCAATGTACTTCCCGGTGTCTTGCCGGCTTAAGCGTCTACCAAAACGCTGCTCAAGCATGTTTGAGAAGTTAACAAGTGGGTAGAGGTGGGCCACTTTRGGGAGAACTCTTAGGTGTTTCAAGAACAAACCAATTAATGGATGTTTCTTCTTTGCCGCATCAYTTGAAGAGTAGTACGTTGAACAGAAGTCATCCAAACCTTCTTCCTTAGTACGGCGAAACAGCCTAGGAAGCCATTTATTGCGGTCAACGTCATCTGTGGAATCTTTTTCTTCAATTTGAGCTTCCAAAGAACTAAGATCTGCTGGTTGAGAAACTGCGCTTTTACGGCGATGAAGAGACTGCTCTACTTGATCAGCAAACTGCTTCTGCCATCGACTTCTSGAGTCAGGTGTTAGGGATGGGCTTCCAGTGTGCTTTGTTACCAAGCCRGAAAGGTCTGAAATCAGATGATGCACCTGGTTTAATAACTGCTCTTCACTGCAGCTCCAAAGTCTTCCTAGAACAAGGAGATCATTTTCGATTTCCTCTCGACAGCATTCCATGGGATCCGCAGTAGCATCATCTATGGACAAAAYCTCCGATAGAGTGTCCTTTTTGAATCTTTCCAGTGCTACACCAGCAAAGAGTGCAGAATGGACAAGCATGTGAAGAAGTCGATAACTAGAGGGAGTCATTTTACACACAGAGAAGTGGTCTCCCCTGGATTGGGCAACACACAGTGTGCTTTTTGAGACATCGTTTTGCTTAACGTCGATACGTTTTGGACGTGATGAGCAAAGTTTGCGGTGCTGGGGACAGCTTGTTTTCTCRTCGCCTCTTACAAATGCAGTTCCACATTTGCACGAGAAAATATGACCTGACTTCAATGTTACTTGATTTTGGGAGTYAGAATCAGACAGAAGACAGCCTTTTGTAGCTTTCAATGGATCAAGAAGGTATGAGAAAAACGGTCGATCAATGACCTGCTCTGCTCCAATCTCTGCAGTGAGAACTGCTAGCAAATGAAGAACAATGGTAAGTTGCTTCGTAGCTAGGACTGGTAATTCATATGAATATGAAATCCCTTCGAAATCTTGCTTGCCAGCCAGGCAGAGAATRAAATGGTAGTAGGGACGTGGTAATGAACGGGGCAATAACTGCTCAATGGTATCCCGCGCTTTGTCCACTGTGTCTGCATTACTCTGGGGCAAGTAGAGGTCCTCCATTAAAACAACAGCAAAGAGTTTTCGACGCTTTGGTTCAGAGAGACTTTGGTAGATTTGTCTGATTTGGCTTGTGTCGTTTGAGACGACGAGACTTTGAAGAGCTTTCTTCACATCACGTTTCTCAGGCGTGTCGTCCAATATATGGAATGCTGTTGAGCTCAGCCTATCATTCCATTTCAAGGACGATAAAATTGGCAACTGACTGGCCTCTTCACATACTTTTCTGAGCTCAAACATAGTATGATATCTCTTGAGCTCTTTTAGGAAATAGAGTAGAATGGAAGCTCTGCGTGGAGATCGAGTTTGATCTCCCAATGGTACTTCAAATATGGAGTTTAAGTACCCCAAGAAATTTGAATACTCTGATTCCCTTTTGAGGATGAAAGGCATTTCGTTGATCAATTCCGCTAACGAAGAAAGAAGAGATCTTAGGTATGAAATTGCAGTAATAAGCACAAACATGTCTTGCTTAACACGAGGCTCCTTCACAACGGCAAACGCATTTCTAAGGCAGGTAATTGTCACAGAGCTGGAATCGCTCACTTCCTCAGATAGATCAGCACCTGGCATTAACTTGTTGAAAGCATCTATAAAAACTGTGACAAAGTGACAGTCTAATACGTTGCCTGCTTTCTTCACTGCCTSATCCAGAGCTTCATCCAGCACTTGAAAATATGGACAATCGCCAGCTTTTCCTTCTAGAATACAGAGATAGCTGCAATCATAGCCCTCAATCTCTGCCATATACAGAGAGAACTGTATTATGTCAACGATCAAAGGACTCGCCGATTGAATGATTTCTTTGCCTTTGATAGAGCAGACAGTAATAACAATGTCCTTGAAAAACTCCTCTGTTTGGCATGTCTGAAGGCAACGTGACAAAAAGCTGATTTTAAACTTGTCTACTTCGTCGCTATGGTTTTCCATGTTATCGATGACATCTAAGAGCTCGTGGAAACAGTTTTGAAGATCTCCCATGTTGGTTCCCCTGTAGTACATCTCACTCAGCATAAACAAGGAGTTTGGGTTTCGGAGATTGTCAGGATCAAGGACCATGTTTGTAAAGTCACTACAAATTCTAAGATAGATGTAGAGAAGAGTTTCCTTGATTTCAGACTTGGCAACATGGGAAATGAATGCGTTAANAGCTCTTTTTTTGGCAAAAGATTTTCACAGAGAGCGTCGAAGAAGAACTCTAAAAACGGTGTTTCGCTTTCTTGCCATTCGTTTTCTGTGTCATCAATTGCGTTGACTCGGTTGGCATGTTCAAAATCTTCATTTCTCTGACGTTCCTCATCTTCGATGTCATATTTACTGGCTTCGACTTTGTCGGCTCTTTGTTTGTCCTTGTCATGATCTCCCTCATTATCATCAAGATCTGCATCATCAGCATCATCTTCGTCTTCATCTTCATCATCATCGCTTTCCTCATCATCATCATCACTGTCCTCATCATCATCATCACTGTCATCACTACCACTACTATCATCATCGTCACTGCTATCATCTTCACTGCTTTCAGTTCCACTGGATTCACTTTCACTACTTTCATCACTTGAACTCATATCATCTTCATCACTCGTCTCGCTGTCATCACCAGCCATTTTCTCTTCATGTATCGGAGATTTAGAAACTTCTGGCAAACAATMTTTAAAACGGCGAATGTAGTTTCTTGTTAGTTGATCTAGATCTTTATCAAAGATTGACTTACAACATGCCAAAAGCTGCAAAACAGAGAGGAGGTCTGACTCGTACTTCCATAAAAAGAAATATGTCTGCGCAAGAGCAATCTCTGAGTCAGATGCAGGTAAAGGTTTCAAGTGTTCTGCACAAGCTGCCTTCATGATCATGAGCCGTTCTATCTTACTAAGCTCTGAGGAGTACTTTGAACTGGCAAAGTCAAAGACATCTTCCATGTATCTTTCTAAGTTGTTTTTCAGCCAACCGTCCTTGAAAAGCTGTGGGATAACTTCGCGAATATCATCAAGTAGATCTTGGAAGAACATTTCTGCATACTTGTCTTTTTCCAGGTCTTTGGATTTTGTAAGATAAAGATCACGTAAACTCTCGACTTTCCCGTTGAAGATGAGCGTGAAAGGAAAGTTTAATGATCGRGAAAGCCCTGGCTGTGTCAGCACATAACAGCGAGCCTCGTGTGGATCTGGGATGTCGTCGATGTTAAAGAAATCCTCATTCGTGATTAGATTTGCTATGAATTGACGATGATCATTCTTGTCACTGGATCTCTTAAGAACACGATGACAGCATTCAATAGAGAGACGGTCTTCAATAAGAAATATTGCCTGTAACAAGAAATGGAAACATCTAAGTATAAAAATAATAACTTCGTGTACGTTGAAAATGTGAGTAGCAATAACAACAGCTTCTACTCGTGCAGGTGCTATTAGTAATGCAAAAAAAAAAAAAAAAAATAAACCACAATACCAACAAAAAGATAAAGGATGAAGGTCAGTTAATGATGTAAAAGGCAAATTTGTTAATGTACAAAAGTGTTCGTAGATATTTATGTCTTTACCTTAGCCAAAGGTCGACGTACAAGGTTATGGATGTAGTATAACAGAGCACCTGACAGTGTTGAGGACCCCAGTACTGCATTCTTGTCGCAGGCTACATTGACCTGCCATTCACAGGCGTTTAGTGTCGAACCGATGCATCTATCTTCCTGGACATGGTGTTTTTCAATCCATCGCAAGACAATTGTCTCTAAGTACTTGATCAATGGTTTGGAGGACTTGAGAAGCTCTACTTCATCATTGACAATCTTCTGGTTTGCCTTGGAAGCCTTCGGATACTTGAGCCTCGTGAAGCACCACAGCAATTTATCAGTCATGATCTTCTTCAAAGACAAAACATTGTCCATCAGCGAAACGACAGTGTGGCCAAGAAGTTTCGTAATTGGGACTTCGGGTCGTTCAAGAGCGTCAATAGTTGCTTGTTTCCAGTTGTTTAAAAAGCTGAACTGCCAGGGTAGAGATTGTTCTCCCCTTCCAAGATGGACAATAATACACATGCTTTTGATTGGCTTCTTCTTCTCATTGTTACACCTCTGAAGGTAATTTTCATGGCTCTGTTCAAGGGTGGACTTCATCAAAAGCATGTGTTCTGCATCCARGTCAGGCTTGCACTGAAAGACGAGAAGATCTTTTTTGTTAGAGTCCTGCCAGAATTGTTGAATAGTCTTGGAAAGCTGCCTCTCGGACTTGAATGCTCCTAACTTTTCGACTTGGCAGGAGAGAAATCCCTTAAGACATTTAACAACATCTGTGTGGATACTAGAATGTGTCAAGACGAAGTAATTGAGGCTCGTTTTTTCGGAACTCTGAAGTTTTGAAGCGTTGACCTGATGGAACTTTAGAAATCCTTTCAGGCCTTTGTGGAGGGGTTTTCTCTCAAAGTATTCTTCGTACAGTTCTTTAGTCTCTTGTGGGTCATTCTTGAACTGTTTAGAACAAAGACTTCGTAGAACGCCATCAGGAGTAGCGATATCAAGGATCTTTTCCTTGCACCTTCGAAGTAGTGGGACGTTTTCATCTGGTTGTCGACCAAGAAGAAGTACAAGAGAAGCAAGCGTATCGTCCTTGATCCCCAAGAAAACATCACATCTTTGAAAATCCTGGTCTTCGACCATGCAAAAGTTGTCAACCCATGACTGTAGTTGTGCAATGGTTTTCATTTCATGATCTTTCAGTACATCTGAGTATCGAAGTAGCTGCTTTTCGAAGCGATTGAGGAATGGTGGGTCTGTGTAGTCCACTTTGTTCTCATCRACAAGAACGATGCAACGGAAACCATCATTGACCTAATATGAAACAATTATCAGTAACAAAAGTAAATGAATGCAAAAGAGCAAAATCGAATGAATGAGGGGAAAATGAGAAAACTCACTTGACACATAGGGTTACTGTATGGCCCAAGTGCTACGCGACAATTCTTTTTCTGACCAACTACAACATAGTTTTGGTTSAGCATGTCATACAAACTCCCATAAACGTTCTCAAGATCTTTCAAAACAAGAACACATTCACGCTCCATATACAAGATAATACGGCTGAGCGTTCTGTAGCTGTAGTCTTCAGACTGATCCTCTTCAAACTTGCTTCCGTAGATGACCACTTTTTCTTTCCTGACGTCTGCCAAGGTGTCATCAACGATTCCAAGAGATGACTGGCCACTAGTAATTAGCATTAARTGACGGGCGCCTGGATCGTTCAAGTTGTCCGTTATTAGATCAGTAACTGGGAAGTTCTTCCATCGGTCCAATTCAGCATGGCACTGCATGGATTGTACGTTTTCAACGTAGGTTTCCTCGATTACTTGGTCTTCTTTTCGAAGTCCACCAAAGTTTCTTTGCAGCGAACGGAAGGTACTGTCAGCCTGGAATGTTTTCGACGACCAGGTTTCCTAGGATGAGATATTTCACAATTTGAATATAGCAAGTTTTCACAGCACAACCTCATGAACATGCGAGCCTCTAAAGTGCGATTATTCTGATATCATAAAAACTATGCACTGAAGCAAGTTAATCCTATATAACAAGAYACTACCTACCTCTCCCATTAATGTCTGACTAAGACACTTAATYAGTGAGTAGTAATCTCGCAAACCATGGAAATTGGGATGGATCTGATCCTTCTGATAATCAAAATATGACTTTGCTAAACACTGTAGCATCTCTTCATTTAGGCCTGGCGAACAAAATGTTAAGCATCAGTATGGTAAAGACAAATCTTCATGAAGTTACTTAACAAACTACCTTGAAGAGCATGCTCATACAAAACTTCCGACTTTCTCAAATGCGCTTTTGACTGTGCTTCCAATATAGACTCTCCAGTTTCTTGTAAGTCTTTAAGAGTTGGTTCAGGTCTTGACAAGTGAATGGCACGGTTCATTTTTGCGGCATCTAACGCCCAATTTGAGATTCCAACAACAGCCACGTCAGGCAACTCCTTCTCTTCGGGCTCAAGAAGTCGATGAAGTACCTTCAAAGGATTATACTTGGATATYTCTGCAAGACCAACTTCGTCAAGAAGAACGACTGGCAAAGAAGTGCCATCTTTGTCCTGTTCTTTGTATTTTTGGGCTTTGTCAAAAACCTTGAAAAGTWATTATTACAACACAATTATTACACTAAACACCATAGTACACTTTTAGATACTTTTCATAGCTAAACTTATAATTTAAATGCAGATACTTACTTTTAGTATCCCTTCCGATGTAGATGACTCTGAGCCTTGGTAAGACACAACAAGTAGCTGAGGCAACGTCTTGAAGAAGTTATCCTTGGAATCTTTACCACGAAGATTGCTGATAATGATCTGCATGGAGAGAGATTTACTGCAGCCTGGCTTCCCAACAACGAAAACAGGTATCCTGTTTAGGATGCAGACTAAGATGACGAAGACATTTTCTCTCAGTGCTGTATTTTTGGCTGTACCGTCTGGCAACTCCATTCTTGTGAGTATTTCTTCTTGTTCTGCTCTCACAACGTCATTAATAACACTTGCGGTAATGTTCCGTCTTTCATGTTGATGATACACTTTTTCAAGCTGTGAACGGAAGTCTTCCCTCTTCTTGCTTGATGGAATWCGAGACTGGTATGCATGAGCGATTGCTAGAATAATTGATCTGTTCTCAATGTTGACACCTTGAGCACGTTGATAAATGTCTCTTACAGTTTGACTGAATTTCTTTTCATCAATCTTCGGACGATCTTCTATCATTTTCATGAACCATTCAGCRAGAAGTATGCAGCGGCGAACGTCACGAAGGCTAACACTATATCGACTTTGCAACTTGCGGATGAATTCTTGCGATGTTGACAGAAGATCTTTTAGCAAATTTGGGAACGTTGTGTTTAGTTTGGCAACCATGCGACCAATGTACGCCTGTTCATCTTGTGGATCAAGTGACCCGTAATCCCACACGTAGTCCATCATGGTCTCTGGAAGGGGTTTCACTCTGTAGACCAGGTTTGAGTACTCATCAKYGAGACTTTTTCCAGTAAGGCCGGCAGTTGAGATRCTCTCTGTTGATCGYAAGCAATATGGATTACATGCTGCCAGGAAGACRAGGTTGGGAGGGAGTTCTCTTCCATTGAGGCTCCTGTGGCARATGATGTCATTGATAAGACCAAGATAATCACAAGTGTTGATTTCATCAAAGAAGACCCACACTTGCTTATCCACATTCCTCTCGGCTTTGTCAATCTGYCTCTYAGTAAACTCRACGATATCTTCCTCGTAGATTCCTGCATGGAAGTTCATCACKGAAAACTCGACRTCRCAGCATTTGGCMAGATAYCGYACCAAGCTGGTCTTTCCGCAGCCCGTCTCGCCCATGACAATCACAGGAACCTGTGCGCGAATTCGCTGAACAATCAAGACCATTTTTAGGACGTTATCTGGAGTAAGCACATAACCTTCAGTGGAATCTGTTTTATTCTTCGATTCTACAATCAAAATCTTCTTAAGCTTTTTTTCGAGTTCATCTTCTGAGAGTTTGTCCAAATCCTTCAAGGGGGCATTTTGGCTTTTAAATAACTCTTGGACCTGAACAGGAACCTTTTCAAGCTTTCGAAAAAGAGCAGAAATGGAGTAWGCTTCTTGAAACATCACGACAAGATGATTGTCATCCGCCCATCGCACCATACCTTGTACACGGTCAACCATTGTTGTTGCTGTATCATTCTTTGTCATTCTTCGCCAAAGAGCAGACGTTTGATTTTCTTTACAGGYTTTCACTGATCGTTTGGCAAATTCRATGGATACATCCWTTAGTGCTTCAAAGAGCCTTTGTCGTATGTCAGYGGTTTCTTTCACAGCTGCTGTCAAATTCTCYGGTCGGAAGAACGGGCTTGAGGAAAATYGTCTCAGTTGTGCAGCCAATACATTCAAAAAAATCTCAACAGTGTTGTACGAGAGATCACTCCACGGCGAATAATTTTTCAAGAGACGTCTACATTCACTTGCACTGATTGGATTCGCTTCTTTCAGGTCTTTGCAGCTCAGCGTTTCCTTTTCAAGAGCCCTTTTTTCATATGCGCGAAGRTACTGGCAGACAACCTGAACTTGACTTTCATTCTCTTGACTGCACACAAAGTTCGTGAAGTCATCCCATTTTTCATGAATATGTTGAAAACACTTTATCACCGCGAGGGAATCTCTAAGGTGATGGTCCAAAGTATTTGCAATTTCAATGGAAATGTGATAGGTCGGAAGTTGAAACATCAATGTTGAAGATGAAACCATTCCTAGAACGATCAGCTCAAAGAGAAAAGTGTCAACCAAAAGGGGATCGTCTACTTCAGATACATCAATGTGAAGCAAGCTGTGTGCATCGAGACCCAGATGCGACAGTTTATGAACCAGTTTATAACGATCTACTGGTCCATTTATTGGAAAACACACCAGTTTCTTTTTATTCTTTGCTGCGTMMTGCCATATTCGCTCCGTCTTTCCAAGGCCAGGAAGATCGGACGTAACCAGTGACACGTGTGGGAACTTGGAAGAAAATTCTGCTTTGAGTTCTTTATCTGTCATACTGGGAATTTTCTTTGCGCTATCTTGAAACTGGTTGACAACATGATGTTGATTTCCTCCACGRCAAATAAGAACCAACCAATAGCATTGCCCTTTTGCTTGGAAGGTTTTAATAGCATCAACGAGCYGAAACTGTATGTCAACATCAAGGCTTTCGACATTGGCTAGGCAATGTGGTACGTTGAAGTTGTCTGTCCAAAAACAGCGTCCGAGGAAGAGCTCTATCTCGTCCCAAGTGGAGTTTTCATGGCAGAATAAGACCTTGTTGGATTGCATTGGCATGCCTTTGAAGAGCTTCATAACAATAGCTGCGGTTTGAGTGCTRTCTTTTTCCAGGACAGCCACAGTCAGACCACGCTTGGCACTGGGATCAGGATCGTGCTTTGCAACTCTTGAACGGCTTTCAAAAAACTTTTTCAGAGTCGAACCAATTTGCTCAAACTGCTTTTTGTAATCATCACCATCTTTGATCGCTTTGTCGTTTCTAAAATTTTCTAAATCTTGCATCATTAGAGAATTATCCACAAAGCGCAACAGTGAAAGGGCTTCTTCGAGAACTTTGGCATTTCCGTTGAAAAACTCCTTAATCACCCACAGCTGCCTGGGATGGAAAAAGTTCAAATAGAAATGTGAACCCCGAGCCTCTGTTACAGTTTTTTCCCACTTCTGGCGTTTGGTACTTAGTTCTTGGTACGTAGTTTGAATTTCTTCAAGAGAGGTGCATTCCCTCCAAAATCGTGAAAATTCCAGATGCCCGGCCTTTTCCAGGCTTTCACCAGTGATGACTATTTCATTGAGGAGATCGATCTGATCGATGAACACCGTAAAATCTAAATTCTCCTCTTCTTCGCTGGTCTGTATCTTTCTTTCTGAATTCACAATAAGGAGTGCTCTACTTTTGATATCTTGCAGTTTCTCCATGCTATGGGTAGTAGCGTGGTTTCCACTGGGTAAGGTATCATCAGACGTGTCCGAGTAAGTCACAAAGTACTCCCAACGTTCTTTGGTAAACTTGCCTTGGTTGGAGATCTTATAATTTCCCTTGAGTAGGGCTGCAGCAACAATCTCTTTGGTCATTTCACCACGGTTTGCAACATTCTTGTAAATACTGCGCAGGCTGTGGGCATTGTTACTGCTGGCTTTTATTCTTGCAGCAATTGCAGTGGCTTCTGATTTCGTCAAATCATTCAACTGTTTCACCAAAACACTCAAAAAACCTTCTGGTGCACTTTGGAAAACTGGAGCAAATACTTTATGGATTTCAATAAAATCCGACACTTCCTTTGCACGGACTGTAGTATCAGAGTGCTCTTCGACTGCGTCAATTAAGTTGCGGACATCATCATTAGCAGTGTCTTGTAAAAGTGTGATCACTTCTTTTGAATCCGATAGTTCTTTGATGACTTGTCCCCTATCCTCATGCAGTGACTTTTCTATGAACATTACTTCTTCTGTGGCATCGTAGAGGTCTTTTAGATTGTCATAAGAGTCTTTAGTCTTTGTAAAGAAATCAGATATGGATTTGTCGGTAAAACTCAGCTTCACCGAGGATAGAAGTTTGACAAGAGCTTCAAGATTTATCTGCATTTGAGGAAATATCAGAAATCTCACCAAAACACCCTTCGCATTCCTCACAATTTTCCGTTTGCCATTGACCAACTCTATGAAGTTTAGCTCGGACTGTAGGGTCTCCTCTTCAACTCCTCTAAGAAGTACATTGGCATCTTCCACAGACATGTCATAGATGTTTTCAAAAAGAGGAGCACACATACGATTCAGATGCGTCTTTCCATGATCAATTAGAATCACCAGAATCTGGCTTGAGCTACACGACATTTTGGTGCCATAAGTCTTCAAAACGGCCATTGCCGCATTTCTAAAAASCTTGTGTTGCATCAAGCTGTCCAAGTCTTTCAGTCTCACTACAAATGGTTGTGCACTGTCCAGGAAGTTAGTATCAAGTACTTCATGAAGGCGCCTTTCTCCAAAGGAATGTTGGCTTCTCGCTAAATCTACGAGGATCTCGTTGATATCTGGAACGTCAACAACTTTTTCTGTTATATTCTTAATAAACTTGGCTGCGTTTATCAACTTGTCTATGGTGACAGATATTTCCTTTAACTCCTTATAACGGGAGGAAACAAGATCACGCAATGAACTTGTGTTGCTTGATTCAAAGACAGAAGAATGCATTTTGTCTAGAGTATCAACAGCTTCGGTTTCATTGGCTATGGTTGTAAGGTCACTGATCTTGATGGTTTTCGCCTCAAGGGCCTGCACGAATAAAGCAAGGACAACTTTCAGAGACGCCATTTTTGGAAACTCGTCAAAGGTCTGATTCAGTGGCCACAATTGTAAAAGGGTTGTCCAAACTATCTTATCTTTCAAGACACCATCAAACGCTTTTGGGAAACCCTGTTTTTCGACGTCTTTTGCTGTGCTTGGGATCTTGAGATCCTGGCAAAGACATCTTAGAACTTCTTTTGTAATTCTAAAAAAATAGAACAATAAACCATATCTTAGCAAAAAAAAAAAAAAAAAAAAAAAAAAAAAAAAAAAAAAAAAAAAAAAAAAAAAAAAGAAAAAAGAAAAAAACAGCATTCTCACATCTTCTGCTATGATATCCAACATTCTATAATTATCATTCTTGGATACTATTAGTCACTAATGTCAAAAAACTACAACTACAGTAAATAATCAAAAACAATGTTACCTTTCAACTTTGCTCACTTTGTCATCTCTTACAGACAGGTTTTTTAACAAATCAATAACACAACTGTGGGGGTGACCTTTCTTGACTTCTTTCTCTATTGACTGTTGGAGGCAGGAGTAGTATTCAGTACAGACGTCCTTGTGGAGATCTTGTATTTCTTCAAATGCATTTGCTACTGCATTGATGTCTTCAGTGCAAATTCGTTCGTGACACTTTGTCACAGCTTTTTCTCTAACCATGTCCAAGGGGCATACATCTAATGCAACAAAAATCTGGTCCAGATCCTGAAACATTTTGGCGACGTGACTTCCTTGCTGTTGTCTTGGGGGTGCTGAAGAGAGCACATGTTGGTACACGTCTTTCTTAAACTCATCCGTGGCTTCATTCCAACAGACTGTTTTGAAGGTGTTGTCCCGTAAGACGTTGACCAGAACTCTGGAAAGAGTTYGGTTTTCGAAGATCTCCAAAAATGATTTCTTAACAACTTCACTTGCCAACGCTATTTCATCTGTGAAAAAGGCTTGAATAGCTTGTTCTTGCTGTTCGTCCTTGGAGATAAGGAGTTTGGCTTTTTTCTTAAGTTCCTCAAAATATAGCTTAACAAAATCTGGTTTATACTTGTGTGGAATTGCTGACCATGATGTCTTATCAAGAAGCTTCTTTGAAGTGAGATGATTTTGGAAAGCTTTCTTGAATGCTTGGGCATKTGCAGCAACATACGATGGACAGGCGTTGCTTAGGACCTCTTGAAGCATAAACAACGCTGATGGAGAAGTCGCTTTCTGGACAATGAAGCCAAGAATTCGAACACGAATGCTTTTAAATTTGGGGTCCATAAGAAAGCCAGATCCTTGTTCGGTGTTAAGAAATGGAACATCTTCCTCAGAGAAGTGAAAATAGACCTGGGAATGAGGCGAAGTTTGGGACTTAAGCTTGGCCACTTTATCTAAAAGACCTCCGCCAACACGTAAAATAAAGTTTATCAACATTTCCAGAGACCTGCCGTGCTGTACCTGACACAGGAGACTTGCAATAAGATCCTCTACCTTAACACTTTCTACATTCAGGACAGCAGACAAGTCTTCAGYATCGTAAAAGCAACTGATGGTGTCAAGCAACGCTGATGCACTATCGCTATTCGYGATGAGGTGTTTTAAGAGAGGGTAACTTTTCTTGTCACCACGTAGAAGCCGGCAATCAAAATGTTGGATGACATGTGCTAAAAACACCACCACTTCTGGTTGACCTCTATTTTGCGCTAATTCCTTCWGAATCCAATCTGCAACGTGTTGGCGTTCTTGTCTAGCCATGTTACTATATCCAAAGTCAATAAGGTCGTATTCGTCTACAGCCTCCTTTAGGCTAAGTTCTCCACAACACAAGCGAGAATATACATGTCGAGCAAACCAAAACCTTCCAGTAATATTGTCAGCTATGCCATCATACCTAAATAGTGAATAAACACTTCTACTACCAGTCATGTTTTGTTTACGTTTTGATGTACGGCGATGATGCAAGTCATAATACGCGTTATTACCCCATATCACACCAAAGTAAAACAAATAGCGGTTACCGTCTAAAGGAAATGCTTTTGCTCTCCAATATACCTTATGGTCATCCATTGGCTGCATTTCAATATAACTGATCCCTTGATTCAATTGCTTGTCCCATATGCACAAATATACAGCATCTGATTGATAATGCACATCAACATACACATACTTTAACTTCTCCTAAAAAATAAAGCAAGCATGGAGGTAATTAGTGATATTTTTTTTGCTAATGTATGTTATGTTACRTTACTATTGTGACATCGATATCATGTTACCTATCACGTGGCAACTTAGCAATTTCATATAATTAGGACGTTTCAATAGTCGCCAGTTGGTTAGTTGATCACTTCAATCGTTCTATCTACAGTAATTCGTTTATCGTCTTATATCACCCTACCCTACCCGCCCTAATGGTTGTGGTATTTTTTATCCCAAATGGAAATACATTAAACTGCCCGATGATGCTCTCTATTTTCATTGCATTGTGTTTCGAAGCTCAAGCAGTAAGAAATCAATACTTTGGGATATTACGCTAGTCCTGAATTCAGAGATTCGACTTTCATGTGAATTCCTACAAATAATTTGGTTCAATAACATTAGAATAACAATAATACTTAATTCACATTTAATAAGTTGAATAACTACAACGAATATATACCAASAATTAGTTGCATGAATATGGCCAGTGTCTGCTTGTTTTATTGCCTTACCTGATTGCTTGGAAAACCTAGTAATGATTTGGCTCCACTGATAACTYTGCCAARAAATGACTGACTTTGTTGACCACTGTTTTCGTTAGAAGTTTGAAATCCGYTTYCATCTCTCTGTAGGGGACTGGCTTGCATCTTGTTACYATAACYTTGTTCTTTCCCAATGCTATCAACTTCCATTGGCTCTTCTCCAGATTGTTTTTGTCTTTCTTCAAGCTCCTGTTCCCAATYCTCACTCTTCTGGCCAATTTCCATCTTCTTTGAAGCATCCTTATTTGCAACTTCTTGTAAAATTGGTATTGGTGGACCACTGGAACCTTCTGGCAAATTGGAACTGTTMTTCACTGTGACTAGGGACACTGGAGTATCTGGACCAGAAGCATGGACATCAATCTCAGTTTGATTAGTTTCATGGCTGACATTTTGTTTAGGGCTGTGCTCTAGCTTTCCTTGCACTTGTTGCCCAGACTGATCATTGACATMTTGTGCTTTCTTTATACCACTTTTGTCCTTACTTTCCTTGTCTAAACTGTGGTTGTTTGTGTCAAAACTGTCCACCATTTTCAGAAACTCTTCCYTGCTCATGCCTGGATTGTCATTTGATGATCCAGGACCTTCCAAATTTCCTTGTCCTTGTTGTCTGGATTGATTATCGATGCCATCTGATTTCTTTGACTTRTGTTTGTTCTTACTCTCTTTGTTTAAACCACCATTGTTTGCTTCTACTATGTCCATTAACATTTTTTGCAGCGGTTTCTTTTSTATGCCTGGATAATCATTGTCTTGACTTTTCTCAGTTTGTTGCACTTTTTCTTCTTGATTCTTCTTTTTCTTTTGACTTAAAGAATGTTCATCAGTACTTTTCTTTGCATTTTCTTTATCTTTCATCTCCTTCCTTTTCTTCCTTTCTTTTTTCTTTTCTTTCTTTGTCTTACTTGTTGATTTTTCTTTGGTGCCCTTATTTTTCTTTTTCTTCTTTTTCTTCTTTTTCTTTTCTGAATCTTGCTGTTCATCTGACAACTGAAAAATAATAATAAAAAAAGAAAATTATTTTGCCTCGTTAATAATATCTATGTTGATAAGGACTTAAGGCATATTAAAAGTTTTAAATTACAGAGACGTTTTCGACGAATTAGTCATCTTCAGGTAAGGTATGGAAATTAGCTTATTTGCTTAGATTGAATTAAACCTTTAGGTAATTTCCATTAGGAAACGTTTAGCGATGTACATTGTATTATGTTTATTTGGAGATGATTTAAAAGTCTGGATGAATTTGAAAATTTCTCACCAAGTTGAATAACCTCACCAACCACAACTTCATATTTATTATTGTATGGCAAGTGAGCAAGATCAAATTCATGATAGTCCAAACTGAAACTATAACCAACCTGGTCATCCTCATTGTCTTCATCACGTGTTGTGTCCAGGTCATCACCACTACCACCAATGWCAATCTCTTCTTCTTCATCCTGACTGGCGTCATCATCAGATGAACTGTTGTCTTGCTGTTTCTGATGTTCATGTTTGACACTATAAGCACCATCACTAGACTTCACAGCAATCTCTTCTGGTGGTACTGTCCCTTCATCATCAACATGCTGAGATTTATCATCTCTTTGTTTGCTGTCAGCCATTGTGATTGACAGCATAAACCTTCTAGGCCATTGTTAATCTGGCTGCAAAACATCGTTACATAATAACATGTCTATAATGGGTTTTTATACAGCACATCAATGCATCCTGAATTCCATACAATTTATACACAAGAGAACAGCCAATTTGTATTATGGGGTCATTTACTACAACTACCAGAATTCTTTGCCAACTTTCTTTTGTAATGCAATTAGTGCCAATTGTTTTATTAATCTCCAAGGGGATTAAAAATCTGAATAACAATGAAAATACGCAAGGCTATCTGGTAGTTGTAGTAAAGTTACGCCATAATGCAAATAGCCTATTTCCTATACAATGTAGGTTGAACATGTTTTTTTCCACCACACACAAGGACAAATGCACAAATAAGATAAATAGCTAGCCTGAGTTAGCACTCAACAACATATAATACATTGCAACTAAAACTGATAAAATTGCAAGATAAAAAATGAAACAAAAGCAAAAGCAAAAACTAAGATAATATATTTCACAACATATACAACAATGATGTCACATAAAAATGTAATGTTCTACCACTAAGAATAACACAATGACAAGACAAGTGTCAAGTATTGTCAAGGCAACAACAACAATTACAATTTAACAGCAAATTTCCCTCCACTTCCTTTTGTAAAGAGTCGACCATGTGACACAATAGTGTTGGCTGGTGGTGGTGGTGAATGTTTGTGTTTTGGAATGCATAATACCCTCTATTCACAGGGATGCCAACTCTCCCGGATAATCCGGGAGTCTCAAGATTTTTGACCGTTTCTCCCGGTCTCAAGATTTTACCACTAAATCTCCCGGATAATAACGATTCATATATCAGTTTTTTGAAATATCTCTTTTCATCTATTAAAACCCAAATTACCTTGCATATCATTTTAGTTCTGAAAAAATACAAAAATCCCAATCTTCTGATAACAATAACACTGCACGCCATCCGCGGCCATTTTCAATTGCACAATACAATCTATAATATGATTGGTTAAGATACATCCAATCAAATCACTAGTTATAACGAAATTTGATAAATGCGATGACGTCATCGATAATGTTATGAAGCGTCATTTTCGGTATGACGTCATCATTTTCGTTCTCAAGATTTGAAAAGTTCGGGGGTTGGCATCCCTGTATATTCAACTACTCTATTGTTTGAATATGGACAGAAATTAAAGTCATTAATACATTATTATGTGGAAAAATAGACAAAACTTCAACTTTAGTAGAGAAAGCAGATTTAGTATGAATTTCTATTGTTTCAGAAGGTCTGTCTGTCTGTGTTAACTTAACATAAGATGATGTCATAGTGCTATAGGGTAATTATGCTGAGACAGGTTCCTCCATGATAATGAAAGTGAAATTAAATTGGAAAAGGAAATGTACAAATTTATAATAAAGAAAAAGYACAAAACAGAAATTTCTAATACATATTAACAATAAATATTCTAGGCTATTCTAAGAATTTAAATGATTCTTTGAAGCAAACATTTTCAATATTTTTTTACTTTAAGTAACTGAGTTAAAAAACATAGAAATAGTGTACAATTAAACATAAATAAAGTTTGATTTGTTTTATATAATCTAGAATAATAGGTTTGAGAAATAAATATAAGGAAAATCGGAATAATCACTTCAAAGAAGGGAATGCCATCAGGTTCTGTATACAGCAAGTTAATGTGTCACATACCTCCATAAAGATGCAGTCTAAATTCAATCAAAGCAATCTTTTTAGCTTTTACTTCCAACAATTCAATATTTTCCTTTATAAGAGAGCGATGGAAGCAGCTAAATCAAACCTAAATGAGTTTGAACATGCACAACAGGCTGTCTGGAGGGAAAGTCCCAACTCTGAAKTCCCGTGTCTATTCCAAGAACTTATGAATATTCATKAAGTGATATCATTTAGAAAATGAAATTATCATCGGAAAACATTCTCTAATTGCATTAAATTTTGACTAAATTCAAAAGAAATACAATAGCCAATACAGAATTACAATTTTTCCCACGAAAAAAGCATTATTCTATGTTTTATAAAAATTATTTTGGCTTTCAACAACAACCGTGACGTCACACGTCAAAATTTCACGGAAATGCAACGTTGCATAAAAAGTCCCTGAAAATCTTTTCTGAGAATTCAATCGAGTTATGTGGTTGATGAAGGAATAGTGATAGATGCTACAGATAAAGCAACGAGAAAGATAAGGTTTGCCATTTTATCCACATAAAAATTATTTAGAAAAAGTCTCATAAAGCAAGTATTTCAAGAGATGTTATGCTCTTTGTGCGAAACAGAGAAGCTTCGGCGGGAGTTTCAGACGATCGATATATGCAAAAACAAACACGTTGAAAGATTCTGCTTACGAGTAAGTATGGAAAGTACAATATGCTCATGGTTTAGTTTACTCCTCAAATTTGTCGGGTCTGCCGGCCGGCTTATTTATGACCTTTAAAGATCGATTGCTTGAATCTGTCTTATGTTATGTCGAAAGCTGTCAGTGAGATGGTAAAAATCTTGTTTTAACTAACTGAACTACCGTGAATTTCTTTATAAGAAATCATACATGCAAATCTCTTATTTAAGTAAGTTTTTAAATAAGATTTTGAATCAAAACGTCGAAGGAATTTCGATACTAAATTCAGAAACTAGTGAAGTTAAAGAAAGCACTCAGAATAATATTATATAGCAGATAAACTGATAATAAATTACAATTTTTTGATTACATCGAAACAATGAAAACAAAGATTTGACTAAAATACCTCAGATGTCAACCAAAAAAGCTATGCAAGTTTGAACATCGAGTAGCTACAATTGTAGGCTCGAATAAAAAGAAAATTGCGAAATATATGAATAATTCTTGGTCAATGTAATGATATAAGAGAAAGAAAATATTTGTCTTTCAAAATTATGCAGAGTTTTGACATTTATAGWGAGTAGAAGACATTTGACACATCAGCTGAGCTGGGCCCACGTGCTTCTGAACGGCGATGAATTTTAGCAATTATACAGCATATTACTGAGAAATTACACATGTTTTAGCACAAAAGTAAAGAATTGCTTTCTAACATTGCAGTATCCTCCAAAAGTAGTCAAAATGCACAATAATATGTTGGAAATTATGGAAAATGCCTACCTTGACATGACACGACCCACATGCACGATGACTGCAAGGACGTCATAACTTAGGGATTCCACAGGAAACCCAACCCAATTCTTTGAAAAATGACCACAGAATGCTATTATATTTAGTTATTTTATTACCTTATTATTAGTTATATCTTATATATCTATCTATAAACTTGAGAATTATTAGCGCTAAGCAACTGACTATTGAATTTGGCATGATTCCAGTGCATCGCAGATTACATCGATAGAAAACGTTGCTGTCCAGTTTGTAACCAGGATATTTCAAAGACCAGCAATAACTTCATAACTTGCCAGGAAAAACTTAAGTGGTTGTTTCCAGAACTTGAAGATGATAAAGACGAAGTTCAAACAGCAATTCACGATACAGTTGGTATCTCGAAAATACGGGTAGTGATGCTTGGAGGAGAAACTGCTCTTGTGCCATTCTGCTCGACAATGAAAGTRAAGGATTTCAAAACGTCTGTGAAGGAAAAGTTCAATGTTGAATGTGAGATGCAGAAATTGTTGTACAGAGACCAAGTKTTAGAGGTAGGAAGTTCTCGAGGCATAGCCAATGAAGAGCTAATGAACAACCTTCAATCCCACTCTCTTTTGCATTTCTTTCCTTTTCCAACCAAAAAATATATATCGGTTAATTAAACATGTTTCTCTAAAACGTTACATTATACGGCAACACAGTGATTTCAATTTGATTTATTTTAACTAGATTCCTTATGTCATTCCATTACATGTGAAACTACATAAAACAATCAAAAAATGAAGATTAATAATAAGTCTAACAATTTCTTGGTCTTTATGTCAGAGCTACCAGTCATTCAATGCCAAGAAAATGAGTGATTACAAGGTGCAAGCAGAAGGGACRATCCAATTGGTCAAAATCTTAAAGACACTTTCATCATCGGTTGAACAMGTGATCTTTGATTTTTCTTGGGGATTTCCTAATTCTTTTTGCCCAGACTTCCTCGACGCTTCMGCCTTGCTGTACTCTGGAGGTAATTTCATCGAGTATGTGGATTTCAGAAATCCTACGTCCTGGCAGGCGCTCGGAGCTGTAAGACATTCTGGGCATGCACAGAGAGAAGGCGACCGTGGTCGACATCGCATGAACGTTCAACTAACCAGTCTCCCCTTCCATATCAACAAAGTTTTCTTCACTCTCAGTAGCTGGAATTCTCCAAGCATTGCAAATTACCGAAGCCCAAGATTRCAATTTTACGATACAYGTTATCCAGACAAGCAGCTYTGTAGTGAGGAGTTTGGGCGCGCAATTCACCATGAGGCAGTGATAATGTGTAGTGTTTGTCGTGGATCTGATGGCAAATGGACGGTGTACAGTCTTGGCGAGCCTTCTTCTGGTAATTGTAAGCGGGAAAGATATTATCTTTTGAAARGCACTATTGAGGATATCATTAGAAGGGGAATCTGTTAAAATGTCAACTGATCGAATTAGGCAAATTCTCTATTGAAGTGAATATTGGCTTTAGAAAATCTGGATCATGAACTATCAATTGTATTTTTGGTGTAAAACCTCCGAGATACTATGTATCAGGGAAGATAGCCCTAGTGTCGACCTTTTAATTTTTTTAAGCATGTAAGACGTTTGTTGGAAAATCACTTCAAATAATTAATAAAGTATTGTGATCCTAAAGATGTGTACACTGTGCTATGAAGCGGCTATGATTGTTACCAGGAAGTAAAAAAACTAAAAACTTATGCATCATAGTTCTTGCTTATGAAATAAACTATCTCGTTCTGCAGCAAATTTCATCAAAACCTCTCTTGACCARTATCTTCTCATTCTGTTTTCCAACGYAAGAGCAACCGMAGCCGTGACTGAGACATTMACGATGAAGATCGTCCAATCTACCCAGAAAATCATATCCTCCATTACCAAGTATTTCTTGAGCAGTCTCCGYATAAGTGCAAGCAGATAGTATAAAAGAATGTTTGTAATAATAGCTGCTAAAGCAGTCCCAAATGTTCGAGCCAGGACAAATCCATAGTGTTGAAGTGGAAATTCACTCCGATAAGCAGCCTCGATRAARCTAAACTGTTCCGCATCCATTTTTGCTTTCTTGAAAACTGATCATAGAGCTTTAAAAATATTTACTGAAAACTTTCTCTTCTAGACTTATGTATTTAAAGTGTAATTCACTCCACGAGGCTTCTCCAAAGAATATACATGTCAGACGTTTTAAAATTGTTATCWACGTTACCAAATGATAATTTTATTTGTGACATCATTCATGAATATGATGCTATGACTTAGAGGAATTAAACTACGTATTTTACGGCAAGTATTTGCACAAATAGTCGGCTCGTTAACATGAGATATTACATATCGAGATATTATGTTTTCTTTTTTTATTGTCGGTTTTATGTGCTGTTTTGATGTTTGTTAGTGCAGAGTGTGTTCTTCTGGCTACCTGTGGTTGTACAGGTGGTTAGGTGGTGGTTTTTCAAAACATTGATAGCTTTTATTTACGTATGCTTTCAACAGAATTTAAATATAACAGACAGCATTTCATAACTGAGAAATACAGATTACGGTTTAAATATCGGCAGTTCTTGTCCATTAGTTATAAGACAGACAGCTTCATAACTGAAAAATACAGATTACGGTTAAATATCGGCAGTTCTTGCCCATTACTATTAATTTTAAATGCCTGAATTTATATAGTGTATACATTGTAAATCGTGAAAATGTTATAAGGAAACATCAAAATGCAACAGTACAACCAGGAATTCATTAAATAMRAAGAATATTACRTGAGTTCGGCTGGTATTAATTATCTTCTTTGGTATTTTTTTCCTGTTTGTAAAGTATTTTTTTTCTTTTACTAATTAGCGACTACACTTTTAGAAATGAGGTGCGTAAAATCTGTCAAATATTAACGAAAAAAAATWTGAGTAGAGAGCGTTCACATCATAAGTCCAAGAGACTGGGCGTTGCTCAAAATTTCCTTTGAACCAGGAATCATTTGTCCTAAAAAAAACAAGCGAAAATAAAAATAAAACAACTAAATCACTCAAATCATTTATATTCTCACCTTGAAAATAGTGATACAAGCATTCATCTGGAATATTCTTGTACATCATAACCATCTGGAGGAGTTAAAATAAATGATCTTTCAATACGCTCGAGCCCAGACTCCGGTACTTTTGTCAGGGAGGTGATGGCGCCGCATTGGGCGGAAAATGTGCGGGATCTGGCACGAGAGAAATAGAGAAAAAAATACTACTGACCTCAAAGCATGACTGCGCAAAGTAGTATCGCAAGTCCTTCTGGGTAATGTCCTCAAGAAATCGACGTAAAAGCAAAACATGTGACACAGGGGCGTCCCTGTTGACGAATTAAAAACGTTTAACAATTTACAATAGTATGTTGAAGTAAAGTAAAAGGACAAACCAGAGAGTTAAGAAGTCTTCAACCATCACATGTAGGCGTTCCGGTCGAGGTAACTGTGTAATGCTGTCTTTTGAAACAGTCATTTCTGTAAAAACAATATTTAAAATAATCGTATTCTAAAACACACCACATTATAATATTATGCTACTGTTATATGAGCCCTGCATGATGGAATTCCAGTCAGTGGTATATTATGCTTACTTTCAGGGGGTTGTTTGTAGAAGTACAGTACAGGATGCAAGAAGTTCGACAGGTGTGCGACAGACGGTACTCCTGCCGCCGCGGCCCGGTTGGACCGAAAGACGTCCTTGCTGTAGTCAAACAAAGTGATATCGTTGAGAACTTGTAACAATGTAACGCAGAGTTGCACCATCGTTAGTTAGCCATTTGCGTTCATATTCCGCACAGAGCAATATCTGCACTTTATATAAAGTCATCCCCGTCATTTAACTTACTTTGGTCCAGAGTAATCTCGGCCGTACTCCATGTTAATCACTACCATTGGACCAACAGCATGACCAGTGTGTTCTGTTTAGTTTAAAAGGTAAAATGTCGACGAATCAGTAAATTACAACAGATTGTGTTAGAATTAAGCTAACTACCTTCAAATTTGGGTAAAAGTTTCACAGGGAATTCTTCATAATARTCCACAGTGTTATCAGATCCTGTAAATGAGCAAGTATGAAGTTATTTGAATCGCATATTATATCTAACTGAAATAATGTCGTCCGATTCAAAAGGTCTTCTTCACCAAGCCAAGACCCAAGTGCATCATGGGAAGACAATCATTARGYTAATTTCAGTGCGCTTCTGGCGCTTGCTCGATTATCATGGCTTCCCTAGTTAAACGCTATTATTGTCTCMTCATGCTTTCCTTTTGATGAGATATCCTTTTTGAGTACCTGCGTTTGTTCGGTCCCGACTGTCAAGACCTCGGGCAGTGTTTTCCTATACGGACCTCCCAGCCGGTAAACAACATATATYGAGTATRCTTGCGTTTGTTCAATTAAGTCTTTACTTACGAAAGATGARAATCTCGCCTAGAACACCAAACATCTGATAGATTCCCTATCAAAAGAAAGGAGGTTATCGCTATCCGGGTTTTCTGTGGATATTATATATGTATGTCCCCTATCGAGGCTAGTAGRTGAAATGAGACCGTGCAATAGAGAACTGTTTAATTAGAAATGGAGGCATCGTTATACCAGTGCATAAAATATGAAATTATTTACCACTACAGAGTAGAATATCAATTCTAAAAATGTAAAGACTGGATTTTATACCCCGTTTAACATCAATTCATTTTACTCTAGCCCTATACATTCAATTTTTCATGTTTTGCTGTCTTCAAGTGAATGCTTAATAGGCAAAAAGCTTTGCATTAAATGTTTTGTGTACCGAGGCTTCATTGATTCTCTTCAGTATGACGCCAATGATATCGCTGATTGGTACATTGATGTGAGGCCATGGCACACCATGGTTCTTCCACTCCAAAAGACGGTGAAGTGTGCGAGCTACAGAATGAAACAAAAATGGTACTTTACGTGAATTTGCACTGAACAGTAAAGTTGCGCAGTCATCAGGAACTTTTCCAACAAAATCATAATGAAGAGGGCTAACGCTACTTTAATACGTAAGGTGTAGATATAGTCATAGCTTATATACCTGTGTAACGGAATCCGTGAATGAAGCCTCCGGCGGACTTACGGAAATCCACGTAGTGCGAGTTTACGCCAGCTGAAATTGAAATTCAAAAAGTTGAAKCCGAAGAATCACTATGCCACCATGCATGTCGTTACTCTGTGGTTAAGTATAACGGTATGAGACATAATCGTCGTGTCCCGTAAGAAGACTACGTACCGTAAAACAGGCGTGGTACACTTGTCGACTCGTAGCTTGCGGTCATCTCGGGAAATTTGCGCAGGTAACGTCCTCTAGAGGGTAGTGGCTCTGACCCGTTCTCAAAAACTGAATAATCAAACTATACGACAAAACTGATTTATTTTTATTGTTCCATGTATCATATTCATAGTGATGATTGCTTTATGTTACCTTAAATCCCATGCATCTTATAACACGGTCRTACGGTTCCCGTATAGCAAAATTATCAGCTAAGAAAATAACAGATATGGACCACCATTACATTGATAGTCTATACTAACTTCAAAACTAACATAAAATTGCTCAGTATTATTACCTCCTTTGCCGATGGTAGTGTCCACRWACAGCTTGTTGTTTTTCTTCACAATTGAGATGATTTCAATTGGTAAATCTTGAAAAATAGAGAAAACCTCAATAAATTTAACAAGTATGCTACCTACAGGCTCAATTAACTGGTCGTCTTATATCGGGGGCAGAAGCGGAATCGGTATTCACAGGCCATGATTTATGACGATTTCTAACAAATTTTCWCCATTATTATTGTTTTTGATTCCTAGCCGTTGTGAAATTTCCGTATTGATTCATGACAATTCTCACCACACTGTTATATATAATTCTTTTAAACACAAAGTGTTATAATTCCCCAATTTGCGAGCAGGTTTTCATTATCTGTTCTGTTTAAGTGACAATGGTTTCTAAGCATTGACGTCATGATTCGGCTTTCGTCACGTGTCTTCTGCTAATAACCCATCCCCAATCTAATAATTACAAACCTACCAAGTAAGCCGTCGAGTGATTTTAACTGGTARGTGTCCAGTATGTCATTGTTAATAGCTCTATCAAAGGTAATGATAGTGATATATAAATACAATCAGTGAGATGATAAACCGATCAACTAACATCAACAACATACCAACTAAATACACACTAACACCAATCTCCTGAAGAATAAAGACAAACCTTAGATCACCAACATAGTGTGTAGCCCATGATAGTCGTACTCTACTTCTGTAAAATAGATATTAACATCACTAAATGTGAGTCTTGGTATGTTTAACTTTGCACACAACTCAAACAATCCTCACCTTGCAAACATATGGATRAAGTTGGCAGATCCAACGATACTCGCAGCGGTCTCAAATCCAGAGTTTCCTGATGCATTGAAAAAAAGTTACAATTTTAGTTTTGACTTGCTTRACGATGGGAATGGAGCAAAGGAACCGAAGGAAAAGTTAAGAAAAGACATGGAAGAAAAAATGGAAAATTGGAAGGTGGAATGCACTGAGAACTTGAAAGGGWCCAAGTACAATAAGAGAGGTTTATACGCATGCAACTGATCAAGTGGACATACCTCTGCCAATGATGAGTACTGATTGCCCYTCGTAGTCCTTTGGATTGGTAGAAATATCCGAGTAACTCTGAAAGAATAGCAGTAACATAACCATTTTTAATCATCCATGTGCTTGCTATGACATAAATGTGCATGTATGAGTTCGCTGCCTCGAATAACCGTTGGCTCAACTCTGCTGATGTATAGAAGTACACTCGCATTTAAGAAGATTTGAGRTGCAGACGATTCTTTCGTCAATTCAGAAAATTCACTTTACCTCAGTATACTCGATTCCTTTTAAGTCKGAAGGAACGTTCTCTGCACCTAGACCAGTGCTGAAAACAACCAAAGAAATATCATTGGACGTCAAAGAGGTGTGGTGTGCGAGAAATGGGTCCTCGCGCGTCGCGCGTGTGATGCAGCATCTTATAATCYGTGTAGTCTACATGTGGGGCTGGAAACACAGTATGCACAAAAGATYTTTTAATACAACTAAACARCTAACTCCTGAAATACCATAGCTAGCAAGAACGAAACCTGAGACGGCCTTTTGATTCGTGTGTAAGTTGTAAGTACGGGTTTCCTGTGCCTACCTCATGATAACATTGGTACAGGAGTACTGCTTGCCATTCTGATCCTTCATTCGAAACTGATCACCAGTTTTTTTAACTTTCACGTTCGTATTGTACTGAACTTTCAGCTTCAGTTTTGTGGCGAAGTCGTTTAAATATTTTACCTAAAAAACGAGCGCAAACGCAAAAATGTTGGGAATATCTAGTCACTCGTCGGATTAGAAGATATAACGTGATGATATGCATTATTTTGAAGATTTTGTTGGAATGACTTTTCTTTTTCCATCTAAAATTTGACTAACCAATGCTTTGGCATCGGGGAAGAATTCCTCTGAGTAGTGACGTAAGAGAAGTGATTCATCGTCGCTTATTAACGAATTCCAGTCATGGCGAAGATTAAACTCCTTGTTAAGTCTCCCTGTACATGAATGCATGCAGTTGTTAGTGATGAACCTAKTGCAAGTAGGTCAGGTTAACAATAGGGTGCTGCAGTGCGCAYATAGCAATACGAGATGAGAGCAGCARTGGGYGTGGCAARGCATCTACTGATAGAGCACTAGTCAGTGCATTGCAGACCGCAGACAAACCACGCGATGGCACAGCAGCAAGAAAACCGWATGGCAYARTATAAAGTGAATTTATACATCGTGATATCATCTACACGACAATGCASAGTAGAGAACCAYATRGCGCAGTAGACTCTGTACTGCATAGAGCAGCTTTTGGTGCGTCTAAGAATGCATACTGAACGGTACACTGACTCACCTGTGAATCGTTTATTGATTGAAATAACTTTTCCATGGCGGGGATATTTGGTAAAGAATGACCCTAAAAGAACCACAAAATGCAACGTGAAGAAAGAACAAAATATATTTTCARTTTATTATGGATTCTGGCTGCAATTTTCACATTTTAACTGTTGTGGAGTTAACTTGATTCTTGTGTAATTAATGTCTCCTGAGTATTGACATATAAATTGATTCGCTTGAGTGCTATCGACTATTTAAGCACAAAATAGTGGCTAATTGTTAAGAACTATTTAGTTTTTATTTCACGGATTAAATAAAATTGCTCCATACACCTACTTATAAAAACAGYTATGTAAAAAGATAAATTTAACACCGTAAAAAAGTATGTGGAATAACTTACTGACGTTTCGGAWGTTAATCCTTCGTCGGAGCAAAGACGAAGGATTAACATCCGAAACGTCAGTAAGTTATTCCACATACTTTTTTACGGTGTTAAATTTATCTTTTTACATAACTGTTTCTTTAGAAACACCGACGCAGCTCACACTAGTTTACCGCTAGTTCCCACCATTTTA